TTGATGTTATTTATAGGCTTGTGACTAAACGTATTCTATAACTTTCCCTCCTTCTCCTCTGCTTACATACACGGCACTCTTTCTCCCTCTAGTGGTCGGCGATGAAAATGCACTATTATCTGTACACAGGCACAGCCTGCTGTGCATCCAGGGCAGGATCATATAGGGCCGTATTTCACAGTCCCTTGGTGCAAGAACCACCGGACCAGCTGTCCTCCTGGTGTAACAAGACTGGACCAGAACTACAGGACCAGCTGTCCTCCTGGTGTAAAAAGACTGGACCAGAACCACAGGACCAGCTGTCCTCCTGGTCTAACGAGACCGGACCAGAACTACAGGACCAGCTGTCCTCCTGGTGTAATGAGACTGGACCAGAACCACAGGACCGGCTGTCCTCCCGGTGTAAAGAGACCGGCTCTGAACTACAGGACCGGCTGTCCTCCCGGTGTAACGAGACCGGACCAGAACCACAGGACCAGCTGTCCTCCTGGTGTAACGAGACCGGACCTGAACCACCGGACCAGCTGTCCTCCTGGTGTAACGAGACCGGACCAGAACCACAGGACCAGCTGTCCTCCTGGTCTAAGAAGACCGGACCTGAACCACCGGACCAGCTGTCCTCCTGGTCCAACAGGACCGGACTTTAAACAAAATCATCTGTTCTCCAGTCCAGAAATCTAACTAGACTACCTTCAGTGGCAGGAGTTGTAGTAATAATAATTGGTCGCCCCCTCTCTCACTCTCCGCAGGCTCAGTGAACGTAACGAGGAGGGGAACAACTTCGGGACGGGGGACTGACGTTGCGTGGCCGAATGGAGACCCTCACGTCATTCTCCCTCATTCCGGGGATGATCACCGTCATCTTCCTCGGACCCCTGAATCCCATCACGTTCGTCTCCTGAAACGGACCGGGAGGTTAGAGCGGGAGCTGACAACCTGCTCCGAAGTTCCCGACAGTTGTCAACGAGTTCGATTCGTGGAGAGACTGACGTAGCAGATGGCGGCCAGCTCCTGCCGCAGAGTGTCCGTCTCGCGGACGAACGGCTTCTTCTCTGGGGTCTCCCCCTGGTCGTACACCGTGAACCTCG